CACCCAAACAACAACCCCCAGACCCACAAGATACAAACAAGAAAGAAAAGAAAACAAAATTTTATAGTGCTGTACTTAGTGTTTTTAGTTTTAGTAGAGGTTTTACGGCGCTCGCAACTGCATAAGGTCATATGAGCGCCAGAAGATTAGAGCTGTTACAAGACAAGAGAGTAACAAACATAAAAAATAGAAGAAGGTGAGATAAGGACGAAACTAGATGTTTCACAGGAAAGAAAGAAGCAAACCACACCAGAGCACCCGCCAACCACCCACTCCCCCAAGAGACACCAAAAGCCTGGAGGAAAAAGGTGACCTACCCCAATGATAGCATTGAGCTCCTGCATGGTGACCTGCTTCGCCCTCTCCACGGCCGCCGCCACTTGTTGTTGATGCTGGGAACAAACAAACCATTGGTCACATCATTATAAATCTGTTTTGGTCAGTCTTTTACAGTGCTCAAAACTGTGTTGAATCTGTTTTGGTCAGTCTTTTACAGCGCTCAAAACTGTGTTGAATCTGTTTTGGTCAGTGTTTTACAGCGCTTAAAACTGTGTTGAATGTGAATACTAGCTATGGTTATTTGCCAAAGCAACCCTAAACCTGACAGAGGCTAAAAGCCACAAGTTGGAAGAAAATCTACCAGTAGTATCCCTCAGCCATCAAAAGAGACAATATATGTTTAGTTTTAGTAGAGGTTTTACGGCGCTCGCAACTGCATTAGGTCATATGAGCGCCAGAAGATTAGAGGTGTTACAAGAAAGTAACAAACATAAAAAAGAAGAAGGGGAGATAAGCATGATAGATGTATCATAGGAAAGAAGAAGCAAACCACACCAGACCACCCGCCAACCACCCACGGACAATATATGACTCGTTATGCTCAACAAAATAAGTGAGAATAACAGTGGGTGGTCCCCCCCCCCCCCCCCCCCCTCGTGCTAGAAAGACAAGATCCCAATTCTATAAATTCAAAAGCAGCGATATCAAGTTCATCACAGATCAAAACACTTAAAACTATTACCACTTTCAGCCCCTATACTATACCCTTGTACCTAAGTATTCAAAGGCTAAGCACTCCCTGCACTATTACATTTTCAGTCTGAAGCACCAATACATGGGAAATATTCCAACTAATAGTTCTAGGCATGAACTTGACAAAATTAAATTCTTTTTCAAAGTTCTCTGCTCCCACAGAATGAAATGCCTATCATCACAGTTCAACGCATTCACTGTCCGATTTACATATTTATACACTTAAACGCACTCAGAATACAACAAATTATTCATTCACACTTCAAAAGATTAATCCAGCATTATTCCTAACACAAAAACTAATCTAGCAAAAGGAGTCTAAGGGAGATCAATTATCCTTAATGTTGTGATTTAAAAAATAAACTCATTCCTGTCAATAACTTACCTCTTGAGATAAAAAAGGGATCACTTGGGCACAGATAGCATTCAGTCTTTTGGCTATTTCCGTCTGCAGAAAATAAAACAAGCTCAATATCAGTCCAAGGAAGAATAGATTTCAACTTTTGAGGCCAAAAACAGCAAATTTGAAAGAAAAAAAAATATATATATATACGTGTGTATAAGTAAAAATTAACAAGAGTAAACAAAACAAAAGCACACCCAATTCCAAACACATGCACCCAAAATGGGCCCCAAACATTTAACAAATCAGTGACACCAAAGCCCCATCCCCACTTCTTTGCACTTGATCACATCACTTCTTTGCACTTGATCACATCACTTCTTAGCACTTGATCACACCCTTTCAACAGACGGCCATCATTGCACCTTGCCAAGGGACACAATTTGAAAGCTGGGACCCTTGATTGTAGACAGGCAGGGGTTGCTTGGATTATGGATTGTGAAGCGCATAGAGCTTGCTGTTGAGCGGGGATTTGCGCTATACAAATGCTATCTATTATTATTATTATTACTATTATTTGTAAGCAAACAAAAATACATGTTCTAAACAACATGCCATTGTCAATGATTTTTTGCAAGTCCAACCTGATCATAGAAGAACCAGAGAAATATGAAAGTTTCTCAAATTTTCACCATATTTTGCAACGGGAAAAAATTAACAGACCGACACTGTCTTTAAAACACCCCCCTCCACCCCCTCATTTAGTTGCTGTTTTAAAAACTCAATACTCTCCTATTATCAACTCTGGGGGATTTTCTTTACTTTTCTCATTATTCACCCCCCCCCCCCCCTTTGAGATTCCGCAGGGATTAAAAACAGTCAATGCCCTGTCCACTTTTAATGAACCAACGCGACACTGGAATGTAAATCGTTTCCGCACCACTAGCAACAGAACTATTTTTGTATTCTGCCACAGAACTGGAACAGAGAGGGTTAAGTGCCAGCTTCAACCACATTATCCCGATTTACCACCACCCCCACCCCACTTTCTCTCTCTTTCT